GAGGAAATGACATAGAAGCAGAGTCAAAACCAAGGGACATTTTCAACAGGATTGTTTCGTTAAACTCTGCGCGGCTCCGGAACTACAAGAGTATTGATTGCAGAAATCGTTCCTAGGGGCAGCTTCAAAGCACCAGGGCTCAACAAGACCATTTTTGACAGACAGAAACAAAATCAACGCTCTCCTACGTAAGAAATACGATAGACTTCGTAAGATTTCCGGATATCAAGTATCCAACCGACTATCTGCCAGATCTTGTTCACCTTGACACAAGAGAAACTACAACAAAGAATACCGGTATGAAAAAGTATGCGCCAGGATCCGCCGATGTCTCCACAGCAGCTAAGTCCCCCTATAACAACACGGCCCTTTTCAGGGCCAACCACTTCCCCCATAAAGACCAATGACGCTCGAAAAACGCCAAACATCTTGCATCAGAAAACAATATAATATGATATGATGTATAAATAAGCATTATTTTTTACTCGCATGTAACATCCTCATCATTCAAAAGTGTTTTAATTCGCTTTAAATAACATAATGTATTTCACCTTGGTGCCGTTTTGGTCCGTTTCGGTCACTCACCGTATTAAAATTTATTTGATTCCCTTTATAAAAAACTTTTGGTCCGTTTTAGCTAAACACAGTGATCAAATGTATATTGAATATCCTTTAAATCTTTGAGGTTCAAGGGCGACATTATCTCGTATGTGTAGACTACTTTTCAAACTTCATCGAAGTTGATTATCTAACACCGACAACGTCAAGCAGAGTCATCGACGTACTTAAAAAACAGTTTGCTAGATTTGGAGTCCCAACTACAATCGTGTCCGATGGAGGTCCACAATCCTCCTCCCAGGAATTCTCAAAGTTCGCAAAGAAATGGGGAATCAACCACAAAATGTCGTCGCCGAATCACGCTCAGAGTAACGGAAAAGCCGCGTCCGCCGTTAAAATCATAAAACATATGATGATAAGGAGTGTTTGAGATGATTCTGACCAGTGCGAAGCACTACTCGAACAACGAAATACCCCGCGGCAAGACACTGGTAAACGTCCTGCCGAGATGATGTTTGGTCGAAACACTCGATCAATGATACCAACGGTAAAAGTAAAAAAAGGTATCGATACTCAAACTGTGACACGCAGACAATCCCGAAAAGACTCCATAAAGCGAAGCTACGACAACAGAACGCGTGTGTTACCGAAACTGTCGAAAGGTCAAAATGTGTATTACAAGAAAACTCCAAGGGACACATGGAGACAAGGTCAAATCGTCGATGAGGTCGGCGAGAGATCGTATTACTCTACAAAGTACTGATGGCGCAATATACCGCCGGAATCGAACTCATATACGACAAACCTCCGTTGATGTGCAAATCCGCGATCACACGCCAACTAGTGAAAGTGACCTTACATCTACTGACCGAAACCGTGTGCGCGACAAGGAAACGGCACGTATCGACATATCGGAGTTCGAAAACACGATTCAGGTTGATACTGGACAATCGGACATTCTCGTAACAACAACACCTGAATCAATCACGCGATCGCCACGTCCGACAAGGAAGTTTAATCAGATTGTCCAAGAACCAGCATACCTAAAGGACTATGTGAGAAACTGATTCATTAATGCTTGAACATGTTTTCGGGTTTAACTGCAGCAACTATGTTATTTTGTGTTTTAATTTCTAGCCATACTATTAAGTAAATGGTATTTTACCTGCGTTTAGAAATTAAAGGACTTTGCATCGAAAAGAACTGTGCTCAAATTTTGAATTTGTAAAAGTGTTAAAGTTTCATTCTTTAAAGAAAAAGGGATGTTGATATGATTCGTTTCGTATTATAAGCTTATTCAAGTTAGTATTTTACATGTAACCTCGTAAGCCTCGTGCTTGCAGTTTGGATATACATTCAATGGCCGACACGTCGTGTTTTGTTATGACTATGTAAAAGTCTGGTTACGGTCCTGTTAGACCTGGTAATTTACAACTGCATACATGATTTACAATGATTTCCCGAAATTGTCCTCCATAGGTTTCACTTCTTCAAGTGGATACAGCATACGTTGTCACAAAGGAACCATTATTGACACAAGCAATATCCAATTCCGACACAAGGAACCTAAAGCAAAGATTATTCAGACGAAAAACATCAAAGAAGTCTTGGAAACATTTGCTGTGGGAGATCATGTAAATACTATTTATTTAACTATTATCTTATTTATCACATGTAAACAGATGTCGTATACTTGAAAACACTATATTCATTGAAACTAGTAACTTTGCAACATCATTCCACATCCAAAATCAACTTTAAAAAAACCCAAACCACAAATATTTCAGATGTTGTATTCATATTGTAATAACTTCAAAGTCCTTTCTTACGATCATGCTCGGTGGCTTGTTTATTCAAAGTGATGGCTACTTACAACATGTGCGCGATCCCATAATACCCTAGCAGAGGAAGGGAGGCAACTCACTATACATTTAAGGAGGGCCTAGGTACTATGAAAGGTGTCAAAGCCAATAGATATGTGGACGCAGGAGCTACTGCCAAATATTTTCAAAGCCAGGCCTGTACCCTATGGCATTCGTGAAAAGGTAGAGGAGGAATTAGGACGGCTAGAGAGGGAATGAACTATTGATCCAGTTCAATTCTCGGAATGGGCAGCTCCAATTGTACCCATTGTGAAAGAGGACCAATCTATCAGGATTTGTGGTGATTATAAGGTCACATTTAATGCAGTGTCCAAGCTTGACAATTACCCTTTACCCAAAATTGAAGACTTGTACGCTACTCCAAGTGGAGGTGAAAAGTTCAAAAACTTCATCTCAGTCAAGTATACCGACTCCCATTTGGAGTTTCCTCTGCTCCAGGCATTTTCCAAAGGAGAATGGAAAATCTTCAAGGCTTACAACATGTGCGCGATCCCATAATACCCTAGCAGAGGAAGGGAGGTAACTCACTACACTTCAAGGTTGTGCTACACTATCGTTTACCATTTACTACACATATAAAGTTCAATTGTCTGTACAAAACTGTCCAAGTACATGCATCTTCTACTTATTTACTTGCAGGTCAGTTTCAGCCAGCGATCAATGTGCAAGACGAAACTGAAAACATAACATTAAAATCAGGAAAAAAACATTGAGTTAAAACAATAGCAGACAACTCACAAAAATGTCGACTATAAATATGGGCATAACACATTCAACAACTGACAACCAACATGTTATCTAATAGGAAAACTAGCCGTCAAAGACTACTGCGAAAAATTCCTTTCTACAAGCCCCTCTACCAAATTCTCCGAAATAGATGATCTTGAGGACATATAAGTCGATATAGAAGATACAACCTTTAAACTGACAGCTGTGCCATCCTTAGTTTCAGTTAACATTTCAAAAAACTGCAAAGGATGCAATGAGAAACTGGATGTACCACCTCAACATCAAACACTTACTATAAAGTGCGACACTTGCAAAATGAGACAAAGAAAACAAGACCTAAATAACAATATTGTCATGAAACTCGAACCGTCAGTTCCAAGATCACCCAGACGTCGTTAACCAATTCCTTGAATCCGACAACAAAGTCAATCTGCTAAATGTTGCTGATGATTTGGAAGAGTACATGTTTACTTCCATTATAGTGACATGCCACTCTCACAATACCAGCACTCCCTCCAAAATAGAACTAGAAAATTAAATCTTTACAACGTCTTTGTCCTACAAACATTTTGTATATTTTACTGCCCTTTTTACATTACAAAATCGACAAAAACCAGAAATACCGATATGGCACTCGGTTACTTACATACGACCTATGCAAATAATGATACTTTTTCATCGATAATTTTTGTCATGCGTATAAAGTATGTCACAAGTAACTAAGTTCACCACATCGACACCAGCTTCACGTTGACAATGTCTAGTCGGAGTTAATCTCGTGAATTTCCCAACTTTTTAGTTAGGTTTACGGCCGACAACGCTTTTCTTGTCGTACCACGGTCACGTATACATGTAGAGGGTAGAATTAGAGTAGGTGGGTCTTATAGTGTTCAGTCGGGTGGGAAATCAACTGAGACAGATGATGCTGTTGTGTTAGGAGAATATACAACCTTAACGAAGTCCCTTCAAACAGCGACAACATCCAGAAAGCCCCCAGCAAAACGACGGAAGACTACACCATCAAACCCTCAGCGAAAAAGACTGCACCATCCAACCCAATCAAAATCAATGGAAAGTCAATATATGAATATAAGAAAGATGTTAGGCCAACATTTATTTATTTATGTGTCCTATCAATTCTAACAGCTTTCGGCAAAATTACTGCGTGTGTAAAATCTCATCCAGATTAAAAGAAATAAATATTGATAACATGAATTTCGATTTTAATGGCACCCAACTTCAAGTATCTTGTCATGGTACTGGCAGTGGAACTGTATCCCAAAGTCCAAAATCATTAGGAATGAAATTGATATTTTGAGTGTCACTGGCTCCCTCCCCAGCTCATTGTTGCAGCTGGAATTTTCCCTGTAATCATTTGATGAGTGGTTATTGATCTAGGGCCTCAACAAATACTTTGAATTTTTACAGTCATATATTACACTGTATAGTTCAGTGGTATTTCCCTTAACATTATGCTATCGTTATGGTGTTTTAGTGTCACTGGCTTCTCAGATCATTAATATTTGTTGCAGTGGAATTTTGTCCCTGTATTATAAACACCTTACGTCTGAGTATTGATCTAGACTCCCAACCCATACATGATTTCCCTTTTCCTTGTCAATATTTTGGTTTTTATAAAGCCAATTGGTTTTGTGGTTATCAATTACAACTAGCGATCATGATCATTATTTATCTTGTTTTCTATTATGTTGCTTATGCATTTTAGGAATACCTCTGAAATAAGTATGTCAGGGAGGGGAAAGAAAGCCACTTAGACAGGCAGTGAAGAACCAGCAGTGAAGAACCAGCCCATGCAAGGGCAAATAATCCACCGTCAAGAAAACGACAAAGAAAAGGCCTTGCTCCAGCTGACACTCAGACTGCTTCCCCTTCTGCGGAAAATGCTACACATAGTCCTGCTGCCACAGAGTTAGTCCAAACTATTGTCAACATCAACTACTGGGCCACAGAGAACGCCAACAACATGTGCAAAGTCAATGTTGATCGACAATAGCTTAACATGTTCACCACATGCACCCAGATCAATCACCACGGCCACATCACCGATACATCAATACTCCAATTCAGTTACAATGAACAATATTCCTTACGACATTACTGAAGAACAACCCAACACTTCGACAGCCATTCCACCTACCACAAGTGCCACATTAGGTAACAATCCTACTACAGACATTGGTCATGACCAAGTGAGTATTTTAACTCCTGATTTACCATTAGGTTTTAATGTACGGAACACAATCTTCAACAAAGAGTTTGTCGATTTCTCATCATCGGTTTTCCCAATTGATGACAATGATACACAAATTAACATTACAATGAAAGGTGATGGTGGGCTTGGGCTGACTGCTCATTTAAATCTAATTTTTTTTATAACATCAGCCATTGGAATCAAGCTTTCGACATCTGTATTTCCATACATGTCACGAAATACCCACAAGAGATTCGCGGCCTTCTTAAATACGTCAACACTGTACGTCTTATTAATGATACGTACGGTTATGAGGCTGCCCAATATTATGACGAAAATTTTCGCAAATTCCGTCGCATTCAACAACTCCAGTGGGCCACAACTCATAACTAATTGTGGAGAATGGCTTCGTTAATATGTGCAAGCCAACAACAAGAAGGTGGTTCAAACAACAAATTTCAGAATTTTCCAGGATTTTTTTCTTCAAAAGAGCACCCAGTCCAATTCGGCTTCAAACTGAGCATGACCACAGAAACCCAGTCCCAAAAGGGTTCTGTTGGTCATACGAAAGAGAGGGAAAATGTCAACAACCAGAGGTTTGAAAATTCAAGCATAATAATAATAATAATAATAATATACAACATTTGATATAGCGCCCTATCTAGCTAACATAAGCCACTCTAAAGCGCTTTACAGTACATAGAGATACAATTTTACAGTCAAATCAATTAGCATATATATAATCAATACAATATTGAAGAATTCAGGCGCTAACTACTAGTCCTATGCCACCTGGATAATATCTCCCTATGTGTGTATGCCTGCGTGTGTGCTGGAGATGTATCATGAATGTCACCTCTGTAATAAAAATTATCCTGCAAAGAGCTGTCCCTTAGCCCCTAGGCAAACTTCCAACCCCGGTTCAACCACAAAAGCTTAAAACTTATTTAAACAATTATGATATGTCTGTCGCTTCGACATTGATAAGGGGTTTCACCGATGGCTTTCATTTAGGAATCACGGGAGAATCCTCTGTTTTAGAACCAGTAAATCGCAATTCAGCTCTAAAAAAATCCTTCCGCAGTAGAAAAGAAACTTAAAACAGAACTTGCATTTGGTAGAATAGCTGGCCCATTCCCTACTCCTCCAATATATAATATTTCCGTCTCCCCGTTGGGCCTTGTTCCCAAAAGAGAGGAGGGGAAATTCAGACTAATGCATAACCTATCTTACCCCAAAGGACAGTCGGCAATGACCTTATACCTAAAGAATTTTCAGCAGTTCAATATGAAACGATTAAAAATGCAATAGCATTAGCAAAACAATTCGGAGCGCACTGTCTCATGGCTAAAGCTGATATCGAAGATGCTTTTCGACTTATCCCCATTCATCCTTCCAATTTTAAATTCCTAGGTTTTAAATGGAATGACCAATATTACTTTCATAGGTCCTCGCAGGACCTTTCCATGGGGTGTTCATGACGATTTCCTTTCAGGCGAGCATGTCACACCTTTTGGATGATTTTTTTCTTTGTCGGTCCCCCAAACTCTGCTCAATGTGAAACTGACTTTTTCTAAAACTGGCAAAAGATATCGGCATTCCAATAAAAGCTAAAAACGGTATTCAGCTCAATGCTGATAATATGACCGCTTCCTTGCCCAAAGACAAAATCGAAAAAGCTAAGTCACTTCTAAACAACGGTATGACATGTAGTTAGGTTTTTATGTATACCTGTAGAATTAAGTTATGATATTTCTGGACTAGAAATATATATACCGCAACTTAGCGGGATTTGAATTTTGCCGCTTATTATTTTTACCCTGTTTTACAATGTAGATATCGGTAGCTGCGGCGTTTACATGTACTAGGCCGGGTGGAAGTTTTTAGCCAATCAGAAATAAGATAGGCCGATCTCCGGGCAGAGGAGAAAAATATTCACCTGGGCAGATGGCATGTTGTCGAGTGGGAGAAAATTGTCGATGTATTGCTGTTTAGGGCTAGTTTTGGCCATGGAAAAACGTACAGAACATGGGCGAACGACCTGAACTTTATCTAGACATATGAGTGTACGTCTATAACTGACCACACGGACCATCCCTCTACGGCTCGAGCAGCACATCAACGTGGACGGCGATACACCTGGGGTTCACGCGCCGGGACTATCTCATTTGTGGGAAGTGATAAAGGATCCAGTGGCTTTCAAAATGTAAAGTCGAAGTAGAACGTAGTATTTGAACTGTGTATTAGAACTGTTTATTTGAAGAACATTCATTATAATACATTGAATCATGATATACTTAGAGGAAATTGGATAGGGGAGTAGAATAGTTTCGAGTCACTTTTATGTGCTTGTGGTACGGTTAATACTTAGAACCATTGAATGGGTTATGTTGATTATTCTCATTGAAATGTAATGCTCTAGTCAGACTCTAATTACTGAAATACCTCAGTAGTCACAGCAGTCAGTATTGTGATTTTTTATCTGGCTGGTGGAAAGATGAAATCGTAGGGAAATTTGGATTCTGTAGTACTTTATTCTTTGTCGTTTTTTTGTATATAAATTTGTTATTGAAAATTTATATTCGGTTTTGTGTATATTCCTTTCACTTGGCACCATTCCTTCGGTTTAACTCTACATTGTAACCCACCTTACCCCTTTTGACGTTATATATATCACATAGTCCATATCATCTATTCGTTATCTATTTTTATTAATTTAACCCCCTTTTTATTTTAATTATCTAAACATACAATGGGAATGCTTTTAAAATGAACCTTTTTATCTTCGCTACTCACATGTTTGTTAAAAGAAATAAAAAAAAATCTAAAAAAATCACCATGGCCCTTAATGACCACAGCCGTCGATGGGCCTTTAAACACAAACAAACAAACAAACATAATTGTTGAGTATATATATAAATGGATGTAATGAAAAAACTACTTTGGTATGTATGTTCAATCTGTAGGCAGATATGACTGATTGTACGTATGTGTGCATGTTCATGTAGGTTAACGTTCATTATGGGAATGCAGCTAACAGGCTGGGATACACAAGGGATGCCTGCACATCTGAACCATGTGATTTTGAACCAGACTTTCACAAAAAAAGGTAAATAATGAATTACATGTAACTTCTTATCAAACTCAGTTTCCATTGAATCACTTCATCCAAGGATTAATACCAAATCAAAGATTTTATCGGGCAAATATTTTCCCCAATATTAAATGTTAAGTAAATCAGCAAGCAACTCCAAGTAAGGATATTCCTTTGCTGTGCAGAGATATAAAAAGAGCGCTTTAACTGGATTACGATTGTTACATTTGTAAATTCATTTCAGGTTCATCCAGAGGCCACTGTGACAAGGGGAAGGGTACTCCTATAACACCAATGAAAGCAAACACAGACAAGCATGAGCCATCACAAGAGTAGTTTGACAGATTCCTAAAGAAACTAAATGACCTTCCTGTTGTTGTCAATATTTTGTCAACAGTTCCAGAATATTGTGCACAATTTCAACAGGAGCCTGAAACCAACTTGAAAGAACAAGAGGCCCAATAGGCCTGAATCGTTCACCTGGTATTTATCACACACTTGTAATCTTCGAAGTGGACTAAAATACAGCTACAGGCAGAATATCAGTGTTTGATTCATAAGAACCTATTAAAAGATTTAAACATTTGACCTTGAATATCAAACAAGGACATTAGATTGAACAGAGTTTACAGTCCTCCAACATAGCATGCTTCTGGGAAAATATCAGTATCCTGGACTTTTTGGTTATACAGAACAAGTCATTTAAAGATTTCAACACATTTGACCTTGAAAGTGGGTCAAGGTATTTCATTTGAACAAACTTGGAAGCTCCTTATCCCAGCATGCTACAGGCCCGATATCAGTACCCTGGGCTTTTTGGTTTTAAGACATTTGACCCCTGTGACATTGAAAGTCGGTCAAGGTCATTCATTTGAACAAACTTGGTAGCCCTTTATCCCATCATGCTACAGGCCCAATGTCAGTACCCTGTGCCTTTTGGTTATTGAGAAGAAGTCGTTTGAAGAATTTAAAGCATAAGCTCACTTGCCCTTTGGGCAGGTGAGCTAAAAATCAAACACTCAGCTTGTAAGCCCTTGTCAGTGCATCGTGAGGGGAGGATAACAACATCAATTATCCACGGTGTTGTTCATATCAACCGGGGGATCATACAAATCTGTGATGCAGGCAATTTTCAACGAACAAAATAAACAGCATGCAAAATGTGCTGCAACCGAGTGGTGGTTACTCATCAGGAAGTCGCTAGGAATTTGTATTCTCATCATCAGATAAGTGTTAACAAGAACTTTCAGTGCCATCCTGCAGTCTTATTGATAAACCACGACATATCCCACATTGCTGATGGCTGGGCGTCATGCGAGTGTTGTGAAAAAGGTGTGCTAGAGGTGAAGTGTCCTTACAAATACAGGGATATCGATCCTGCTGACTTTTTGGACAGCACACATTTTGTTTCAAATCCAAGTTCATGCAAAACATAAATGGACAATTAAGCAACCTTCATTCTCAAGACCACATGCAATGATAAAAAGTCAGAATCATAAACCAGATCGCTTGCAAATCAAGGGGTTCTGTGAATGTCTTTGTGGCATTTTTTGGCAACCCCACTTAGGCTAGCTAAGGGTTTTAGTTATATTTTGATTGTAGTTGCTACCATGTTTGGTATATTTGCAACCACTTTGTATTAATGTGTTTTTTAAAGTAAGTTTTTGATAGAAGCCACATCAGTAAAATAGATATAATGTCACCCTTTGGTGGCCATTTCACTCACATTTCTTGTTTGAGTTATTCTTGTTATGAGTGGAGAGGCATAACACTTACTGTTTGGGGAGACTTGGAGCAAGGCATAACGTACAAAATGAAAAATCTTTGTGTGAAGAAATATGAAGGGGGGAGTCAAAAAGCAAAGAGGTGACGATAACTCATCTTCAAGTTCAGGCCGCATGTTA